CAGAGCAAACATGTTTTCCATCATCAAGGCAGTTTGTACAGCAGAGCGATGGCTCATTAAAAACATGTCTTTCAAACCCAAGGTCGTGGGTGGATGAAAGACCTGTCTACATCAAACTCCGGGTCACTGTAACCACAAGATGGGCCAGATCTTGCGGCAAGAGCACCCCCGGAGGCTTATTTTCATTCCTCCAAAACACATCTGCAGTACAGGCCTGATTTGCACAGATAAGCTGCATATAAAATGAGTATAAAATAAGTATAAATTGACATAAAAGCATAAAAATAATCATTCTTATAGCATTCCACCCTTGCCTTTTATGGCAATTTAGACATTTAATTCTGAAAATCACTCCCCTGAAATTGAAATTGTTCTGGGAATAACCTCATAACTTCATCCTGAATAAACTCACTCACAAAGTTAAGAAAATCCAGACGAGTTTCAAACCCCTGGAACGTTTGATTTATTACATTCCCACTGACACGATAGTTGTAAATCAAAACATCTGGTGGGTGTTCAGGTTCGAGTGTGACTATAGTTTTTTCCCTACCAAACCATGTACCAAGCTGTATTATAAATTTCCTGATTAATTCTTTTTAACCCTCCTAATATAAAAACAAGTTCCCAAATTACACAAAGTTAATACAGAGATACATAGATCAAACTAGTTATTCTTCTTTTCACTAAACAAGCAAAGGAGATACTGCATATATTTTGCGCCGTAGATGACATTCCTGTGAATATATCCCACCAATGGTGAGCCGACGCCTACACTATTAGTTTAGCCACATGTAAAACCTTTCCTTGAGCAATGCAGGTGGACACTGTTAGATCAGACACGTTTAGACTTATGAGATTCAATCATTCGTTTCAGCTCTGTAGACCCATTCAATGCGCATTTGAAACGGTCTAGGGAGACTCTCCAGGGTACGTGCAAAGTTTGCCATTGTACCTCTGTTAGTCGAGTGGTGGAACTATAATTAGTTAATTGATAAGTCTGGTTGTTCCAAGTCCACAGATGTACACCATACACACATCCAGAGAAAGGCACCTTAGGTAATTGAGGATGACTTTTCATGTCTCTAGCTAGTTCATGAGTCCAATCACACAATACCTCGTCTTTGGTTAAACATGGGTTAACATGACCTAATTTCAGCATACATACCACTCCTTTATCAGCTGTCTCGCATAATTGCATGTCATACGTGAGATTTGTCTGTGGCTCAAACCACTCACCTTGTACTTTTAAAAACCAGTATCTTTGTACAGGTAAAATATGATACTTGCACATTGTAGTTGCATTGCTCACAAGATACTGAACCCAATAACATTCACACATATATTCAGTACACTTTGTCAATTCAGGTTTCAAAACCAACCAGTGTACACCTGATATGTTCCACAGCCGTCTCCACTCGTGGTGATTGGATGTTGTCACCACCCTCTGGCAGCTGTGCATGGAAAAATTGCAAGGTACACAGGAAAACAAGTTCAAAGCTTCAGTTATGTTGGAGAGCACTTCTTCTGTGCTCCCCCACATCTTCAGCTGCCAGTTTATTTCTTTTAGCAGTATTTTGGCCGTTTCTTCTTGAGTCATGACAACTGATGGCATCCAGACTCCAACTTGGGTAACTGCCAACGAAGCATGCTTTGTCCTCCTTTGTTTAATTGGCAGTAAAGTCAAACTTTGTTCTTTTTTTTTCATCTGGTTTACATGTACCGTTCTTATACATGCTACACAGTGGGGTTTCCACATAATTCTAATCTGACATCCCTTAGATATCACTGGGATGGTTTTCCTGTTGTAGCGTGCCTGACACTTGTACATAGGACAGTCAGTTGTGCCCTATCAGGCAGCTTTTTGTGTTTCAAACATGTGAAGTTACTTTGCACTCTGATCTTGCTTGCATTTTTTCAACCAAACGTGAACACCTGATCCTCCTCCAAGACACGTCTTGGTGTTGCTGATGAGACGTTGACCATCAGCGACAAGGCATGTGATGCCCAAACAGCCTGCACTCCCATCTGACGGGCACCTGCCACCAGCTTCTCCCATGTTGACTCCTGGGCGGCCCCGACCATCCAGTCAGCAAAGATCAAGGAAACATCAAGCTGTAGAGGCAAAAAGTACTGCTTACAGATAGAGGAAGAATCATTAGTTTTCTCTTATATAACACTTGTTTACAGATACATTTACCCATTTTTCTTCTCCTGCCTTTAGGATATTGCAGACCCAGACCAATTTTTATAACTTGAATTTGACCTGAAATCAATGTCACTGGCTCTAGAGTCCTCAGATCTAGTCCAGCAGATCCAGGAGTTGCTTTGACAGGCAGCTCTGCTCTGTCATCAATTTTCCACATACTAATTGGTTCTTTTTTTTTTTTTTCTGGAGTATTGTAAACCGTGATCATTCGTTTTAGAGGAGTGGTGCAATGGGTCTGTTATTCAATTGAAACACAGCCTGCAACAAATTTACTTTCCAGTTA